GTCCTATTTTTGCAAATCTCATCTTTCTTCAAGTCAGCATGACTGTGTAATGAGAGAAGCTGATACTGTGTCACCACTGCCTGGATCACAGCCTCTGTTTAGAACAGACTGATATGGTCATGTTACAAATACGAAACAAATGGAACTCTGGTTTACTTCCACTCTAGGAGGCAGGTAATTGCTTAGGGTTGCTGCTGTTACCTTTGTGACACCCTGGGTAGCAGGTCCTTTACCATTCACAAGTCTGCTAAGGATATATGCAGAGACTTTCTCCACCTGATTTTTATCAGTACTCTGCCACTTTGGGGACCTGCACACAAATCTGCTCCTGTCTTAGGGAAAAGCAGCAGGTATTCATGAATTGACAGGTGCTCTAGCTCCTTTCCTTTGTTAGAGCTGAATGTTATGGTGCTTAATGCCTGTTGTTTGGAGCTCAATTATATAAACTTCTGAGCAGAGGCTGAGAGAGAGGATGGAAAAGTGGTTGCAAATGGAATCAAGCTGCAGACCCTACAGTGCAGGCTACGTAGACCATCTTTCTCATCTTGGAGAGTAGCTTAGGCAACTGCCAGCAGTGTTACCTGGTGGCATTTATTCTGTAAGGAACTCTTTCAGTAACAGGAGCTGAGAAGCCTGTTCAAAAGATGTTAGAAATGAGACAGTACAGTATGGTCAGTGTGTGACCTGTTGGCATCCTTTGCAACTTCCTCCAGTGCTCCTGTTTGTGGTAGCTCTGCTTATAGAAGGCACTGCACAGCTGTTTCAGTTCCTTTTACAGGAAGCAAAGGCAAGATCCTAACCTCACTGGGCTTTCCTTGCAAGAAAACAGTGCTTTAAGAGTCCTCTGCCAGACAGAGGATCTCCTGGCTTTGTCCAGCTCCTTTCTCTACCTGGAAATGGAAAATGCTCTTCTGGCTTCCCCCCTGCCCCCACACCTCAACACTGTTAAAAAAAAACAGTTGCTGAGGGAGACCAGAAGCAATTCACTGATAATTATTATTTTTTTAATCTGGGAGAAGGACCACATAGACAGGAGCTTCCTTGTGATGCATGAAGACTGTACAGTTAGAGCCACTGGGTGATGATCTTCTTGAGCAGCATCGCTGTGGTTCCTGATACTGGAAGTACTGATGTGTGTGTGCATGTGTGTGCTCTGCAGATGAATGATAATCTCGTTGAGAGCTGGAGTGACCTGGATGAGCTGAAAGGAGCCAACAATTTGGAAACTGTGTACCTGGAGCGAAACCCTTTGCAAAAGGATCCCCAGTACCGGCGCAAAATCATGCTGGCCCTCCCATCTGTCCGGCAGATCGATGCCACGTTTGTTCGGTTCTGAGCCTCCTGCTGCCCCTTCTCTCCTGCCCTCCTTGGAGAAATGTCCCAGCTGGGTTTTTTATCCACTCACCACTCCCCAGGTCTTCAGTACACTGACACTCTCAGAGCAAACAGTCAACAAAAAGCACTGACTACCAGATCTTGTGTACAATGCACTCATTGTTTTTGAAATGTTGTTATTATTATTAAATCTTAACATAAGAGATTTCCTTGTGCTTGTATCTTATTTGCCCGGGAGGATTGGCAGCAAGTGTTTGCAACAGACTGGAGCGTTTCTACTTGGAGCCGCTTGGAGACAAACCTTCAGGTCTGTGATATCCTTGCAAGCATCACTGTTCCTCATCCAGACCTAAAGGTGGTCTGCAGAAATGTGGGAAGCAGTGACAGTGTTGGCGTGGAGGAGAATCGGATAAAAATGCTCATCCAGGTATCAGAGTTGAGTTTTTGCTAAATATCTGTTAGTAAAACCAGAGGGTGGAGGAGAGCTGGAAGACTTTCATAGCAATGGTGGTTGCTTGTTTTTTTATTTTTTATTTTTTTTCTTTTTGAGGCACAGTTACAGGTTTGTATAGTTGACTGAGGATAGCTTGAGTTGCAGAAGCTGTGTGAGGATCTGCGTACCTGGATGGAGCTACCACTGGAGGCACTGCTAGTATAGCATCCATGTTAAATGCTGAGCTGTAGACCAAGCTGGGGACTGGAGGAGTTACAAGAGGTAAGATAATGGGCTGTGCATTCCACCTGGGGAGGAGAAGGGCCTAGACCCAGGCCTTCCTCATGGCCTTTACCTTCATTTTCCTGCCCTGTGTATACAACAAGCACGTCCACAACAGCAGCCTGTGTGCCTTCACCTCAGCCTATGCACTGTGGGACTTTGTCCAGCACAGCAATACTGCTTGCAGGTGGGGCCCCTCTGCCTCAGCTGGCTGTTTGCTTGGGCTCCTTGTTTGCTTTCTGCAGTCACTGCCACCTCCTCAGCACACAGTTCAGTTCAGCTGGGTCCAGGTTGCCCACTTGCTACCATGAGCTTCCACAGAGCCCTGCTTATCCTGGGGCTTACCCACCATGTGCCTGTGTGCTGGTGCTGGACAGGCAGCATGGGACCAGCAGCCTGTCCCTGTGACTCTCCCACCCCTTTGGGGTGCTTTGGGGCTGCAAAAGCTTTCCAGCTGGGGAATTAGGGGAGGAAATGTCACCACTGTGGGGAGTCAGCTGAGACTGTGCACCCTGGGACTGGGCTTACCTGCTGCTCTGCTGACATCCCACGGTGACACACGGTGACGATGCCAGCCACGGAGTGGGCAGGTGCAGTGACAGCTGCGTGTGGCTCTCACAGGTACAGGGCAGTCAGAGACAGGGACGGCAATCTGACTTCGACCTACTGGTACCTGCTGGCTGCATGCTTGGGCTTCCTCACCACCTGTCAGGTAACGGCCACTGGGCCCTGCCAGGAGGGAGGGGGCATGGGCACTGGGTGGGGATGTGCTGACCCTGTGTCCCCTCTTGCTGCCAGCGTGTGGCTTTATCAGGCATGCGGCCATCTGTCTGGTCCCCAGCATTCCTAAGCTGACAGAGGTCAGGGTGAAACGCTGTCAGGCTTTGCTCTCAGCTCCCCTCGAGGCAGCGCTCACTTCGCTTGTCCTGGCTCAGCACAGGCAAGCCGGGCCTCCTCACAGCAGGCTGAGCCCAGCCAAGCAGGGGCTGCTCTGGATCTCAACCCACCAGTAGAAATAACATCCGTGACACTCTGAGCTGTTTCAGGTTTTATTTTAGAATTTATAAAATTCCAGTGTCATCCATACTCATGAGCCTTTTTACATGTTTGCATATAGTCTCCAAATTCCAAAGTTAAGGCCAAGGGATCATTGCTATGGAAACATACAATATGGAAGACGTCAGAGAGGAAACGGACACATGCCACAGTCTGCTGCGGGAGGAGGGTGTGGGGGACAGTACTGGGTACAATCACTTCATGACCTTCTTTAGAGCGGAGGGTCGGGCTGTGGGGCAAGCCCAGTGGCAGTGCCCCAACTGTAACTCAAGCCTAACTGTGCAACTGTTGAGGGCAGGGGGTATAAAGAGGACGAGGGGGTGATAGGCTTGGTGACACAGGACAGACCTAAGCTATGGGGGTAATAACCATTTTCTGACAGACACGCGTGGGAGGGTGTTACCCTAGTTCTGCCTGACCCCCCCTGTTTGCTATCTCCTGGCTGGATGCAAAGCCACCCTGTCCTTCAGGGGCAGGTAGGTGCCCTGCAAAGGGACGCGGCCTGCTTCAGTCACTTCTCAAACTTACAGAGAGCACTAGGAGGTTTTGGTGCAATTTCTGCATAGCAGCCTCTTCCGAGGAGAGCTGTCATGGGAAGGAGAAGCATTGCCACGTCAGGCCTGTCAGACAGCGAACGGTGCTGGAAAAGGCAAGCATGTTGGGCTCAGCCTGCCAGAATTCAGGCCTTTGCCCCATAAGCAGCACTAGAGAAGGGAGGCTAGGGACTCCTGCTTGTCCAAGAGCTGAAGCAGCTGGGGTAGAAGGATGGCTCAGACTACAAACTTCTGTAGGACTGAAGCAGGGGAAGGAGGGAACACAGGGCCCCAGCATCTCCTGCCTCCCTCTTCATAGATGTGGTTTTCCTCTTACTGGCTGGAGGAGCTCAGACATGGCCTCCTACAGCAAGCCAGGGCAGGGCCTAGGCACAAGCAGCCCAGAGGACGGAGCATGGATCACCCTCTCCAGCCCATACAGTGGAGGCCTCAGGGAGGGCTTGACGCACCACACTGTCAGCCCCATCGTTTTCAGCTCCCCTCTTCCACCAGAGCAGAAGCCTGGCTCCTGATCTCTGCAGGCTGCTGCGAGGCTGGGGCTGAGGTCCTGAGGCCAAGCCTGGTTCTAGCTCAGGGAAATCCTACTGTCCCACAGCCTGCATATGCCTGTGAGCACTCTGCTTCCCCCAGCGAAGCTCACGCAGCTGCTCAAAACGCTTCTCTTGGTTTTCCTCCAGGGTTCTGCTCTGGGTGCCAGGGTGAGAGCTGAAGCAGCTGCTCGCCCACTACACTGAGAGGCCACCATCATACTGACTTTTGAGGTAGAAAGAAGGCAATAGTAAATGGTGTCCCTGCCGCTCACACCTCGATGCTGCGGTGCTCGCAGGGGACTACAGCTCCTCAGGGCTCTGCTTCCCACCAGCTTCTCCTGGGCCAACGCCATCACAGCAACCTCAGCCAAAGCCAAATCTGTCCCATCCAGTAACGCTCTCACGTGCTGGCTTGTCTGACTGCCCACGTGGCTTTTGGGAAGGGTGAGTAAGGAAGGGCTGGGAACTAGGAGCAGGATGTGCCATCGCGCGCTGGAAGACTCATGGAGCGTGCAGCTGGGGCTGTGCTTGGTGTGGTGCAGAGGTGCGCTGGCTACGCACCCTTACCTGACCAGGGCAGCCATGTGGTGTTCTGGTCCCTTCCATCTCTGCTGCCTCTACAGCCTACTGAAGGTTTTGTTCCTTTAAAAATTAAGTTTCTGACCTTTTAGATTATTTGAAGCTCTCCCCACAGTCAGCTATCAGCATTAAATGAATTTTTGGCAGTTCAAAGGAAAAAAAATAAAATTGATTGCACTCTACAAAGGTAAGGTAAGGCCTGGGATGAACACAAAGGAAAGAGGGCAAACGTTTTGGCTTTAGAAAGTCAAGGAAATTTATTTCCTGAGGTCATGAGACAGGAAGTAGATTCCTAGCCACAGTAAAGGAGGTCTCCTAATGAAGGCGAGAATGCCTAGTAAGACATGCTCAAGAGAGCTGATTTTTCTGCTAGCATTTGGGAAGCTGTAAATCTTAGTCACTTTAAGTCAATGATGAAGTTTCTAACAAAAATACACACACTTAGTGTTTCAATTTGAGCGGAAGTCTTGTTCCAAAGAAGGAAAGTAGATCCATCAAGAGATGAGAATGGGTCCTAGCTGTGGTGATAGCTGAGGGGAGCAGGATGGGGTCTAGCACTCCAGACACCATTAGGAGACCTCGTGGGGCAATTGACTTGTGCTCCAGCCGCTGGGTCAGATTTCAGACAGGAAGTATTTGTGGCAGGTTAGTGTCAGGTCAGCGGGCTGGAGGAGATGGTTCTGCTTCCAGGTCATTATCGTTTGGGTCCCCAGGGAAGAGTCTTGGGGGCAACTTGAGCCCCAAAGCTGGGGAAGTCTTCAGAACTGCTCATATCAGGGGCCTAGAGCAAACAAAAAGGGAACAAGTTAAGCTCCTGCCCTGCTGCAAACTTGTACAGTGCCCCTGAGCTAAGCAGCTTTTCTGGTGTCCTGTGGGCGAGGGCTGAGCACAATCATGATGTCCTTTGGGTGCCCAGGACAGACAGCTGAGCCTCTAGAGATGGCACTGAGCAGGGTGCAGACAAGGAAACAGCAGGTGGATCAGGGGCTCCAAGAGCCCAACCTCAGTAACTTGGTCACTGGAGCAGGGTCAGGACAGCCCTGCAGCAACACCAGGGCAGCTGAGGACAGAGCAACCATGTGTCCTGATACATTGCTCCCAGCAAGAACACAGCTGCAAACACTGAGCTAGTTCTGTGCTGCAGCATAAGACAGAGGTGCCAGGGCACCCCCTCAACCTCTAAAAACCACATGACTTAATGGAATGCTTTCAGATAAGGGTTCTCCATCCCCCAGCAGTTCTGCTGTATCTGACAGTGGGACATTCAGTGCAGGCAAAACATTTGGAAGGAGACAGGGGTGCTTTGGAAGCTAGAGGCTTGTATAAATCATAAAGAGCAGGATGGCCCCTCTCTGCTTTCTCCACCACCAAGGCCTGAAATGGGGGGCAGATGACAGTCAGCCAACGCTCTCTGTGCCCCCGCAGCAGAAGCAGCACTCACTCACCTTTTCATTGTTGACAGTGGCCCAGGGGGCATCTCTCACCACGAAGCCCTTGGATGGGGCCTTGGACTCTTCATGGGAAGAGGGCTTCATATACACTTGCATTGCCTCATTGTCCACCACATCTGCAAGCTGCAGCCAAAAGGCTCAGTTAGGAGGACGGATCTTAACGGTTCTTCAAACTGCTGTAATCCCCAGCTCCAAACTATCCCACATCTTGCTGCAACCTGTCTGATGTCACCAGCCTGTTCCACAATGTCTGAACACAATGTTTCTGTACTAGTGTGATGGCCACCAACTACTAGACTCTAAGTGATGCAAGCTGCAGCAAGGCGAGCAAGTGCACGTGCTGGTGGCATCCCAGCATACTTAGTCACTGCCCTTTCCCAGACAGGGGGGCCAGTCCTTGCAGCCTGTGGTCTGAGGAACAGCTGCAGCAACCTGCACAAGGATCAAGTTCTCCAATGCTGTGGTAGAAAATATCACATGGAGATACCTCAGACATTCAGCTCTGTGGTTAAGGAAATCCTTGCTGAGCCCCCATACAGATACGCTGAGCACTTACATATTCTTCCTCCAAGTTCAGGATGTGATCAATAGCTTCTTCCACGTTCTCAGGGAGCCCTGTCACAGTCACACAGTTGGGGTCAGGAGCTCCACTCTGGGGAAAGCGAATATCCACCTGCAACACAAAGAGCAGGACAGGACTTAGACCTGCACTACTGAAAAGCTACAGCCTACTCCCTGCTGCGCTGCATTCAGCTCTGGGTCCCCAGCATAAGGACATGGACCTGCTGGAGTGGATCCAGAGGAGGCCACGAGGATGCTCAGCAGGCAAAAGCACCTCTGCTACACAGAACAGCTGGAGGAGTTGGGTTGCTAATCCTGGAGAAGGCAAGACTCTGAGGAGACATCACTGCAGCCTTCCAGTACTTAAAGGGAGCCTACAGAAAATCAGGAGAGGGGCCCTTTGTCCAGGAATGTTAGTGATGTGGCAAGGGGGAACAGCTTTGAATGAAAAGAGGTTAAGTTTAGATGAGATATTAGGAAAAAAATGTTTATTATGAGAGTGGTGAGGCACTGGAATGGGTTGCCAAAGAAGTTGTGAATGCTTCAACCTGTGGTGTGAACTGTGAAGTGCAAAAGGCCAAGTTAAATGGGCCCTTGAGCAACCTGGTCGAAAGGGAGATGTCCCTGTCTGCGGCAGAGGGTTGAAAGCAGGTAGCCTTTAAGTCCCTTTCAACCCAAACCAGTCTGTGATTTTCTGTGCAAAGTTTGTGGCAGCAGCAAAGGAGGGCTGCAATTCCACAGCGTCCTCATTCTGCATCTTCATCATCATGCTATCAGCATGAGGCACAGTAAGCTTTCTGTCTCCTACACAGATAATCCTGGCTAACAATCATTTTATAGCTGGCTTAGTGCTCCCCATACACAGCCACTGAGCTCCCTTGCCTTCCAGATGGCTGCGGGGAAGCCATACAAGATAAGATCAAAACCAAAGGCTGCTCATTTGTGAGCCTAAAAGCTTGTTTCAACAGCTAAGACGAACCAACATGCAAGCCTCCAAAAGCTCATCACCCTGGATACACATTCACTAACTGCCCCTTCAGTAAAGCACCCACTACTGCCATGTACTGTCAAGGATGCTGACCATTCCCACAGGTAAACTGACTGTGACAAAGTCTTTTAGCTTCCAGCAGGCAAATTTGGATCCCTAAGAAGTGTCTTTGGGAATCAATAGTTGAAGCAGAGCAAAGAGGGTCTGGGTGCAGTCCCCTCCCAGAGATCCCCAATATCCATTTACTGTTCATTTCCAGTACCTGGAGCAGCTCACACAACCACCTCTCCCTCCTAAAGATCATCTAGGACCCCACCTGAAAGAAATCTACTACTGGAAGTGCTTCACAGAGGGACAGAGCTCAGTGCTGTTTGCAGGGCTAACTGAGAGCAGAGAAGAAGCATTTCCAGGTTCCTCTTATGCCCATGTTCAAAGCAAGATGATACCAGCTGAGCCTGCTCCCTGCCTGGCTCCTGGACAGCTCAGGTCACGAAGGAATATTTGAGCTCATGTCTGTGTGCACTGTTCAGGTAGCTCAGCTGGCCCAGTGACTCTGCTTCCATGTCTGAGGTGACAGCTTGAGGAGAGCAGAACAGCACTGGCTTTTCTTTGTGTCTGTCCCAGCCAGAAGCGCTCCACAGGCACGAGACAAAAGAATCACAAGATTTGAGCCTGACAGTCCTGAATTCAGACCCTCATACCAAACTGCTACCTTAGCACAGCAGTAACCAGTTCCACCCAGGACTTCCCCACCTGTGCTGCATCCCCCCCTGCTCACCTTAAACTCATCCATGATTTTGCGGATGGCTTTGCCACGCGCACCGATGATGCGTGCGTGGACACGATGGTCCAGAGTCACATCCTCAGAAACCATCTGCTCCAGCTCACCAACAATCTTCATGATGGCATCCCGGGCAGCCTCAGCATTCTTCTCATAGCCAGTGATGGTGATCTGGTCCTGCGCCTGCGATACAGGGAGGTGTGTGAATAACCGAGCGGATCTCCAGGCTGCTTCCTCTTACCCTCCGCTTCATGCAGCAGTAACAGAAATGAGAGCCCTAGAGAAGATGCTGTGCTTTCTATGCCCACAGACAACCAGCAGTGCTCTCTGTGCGTCCTCTGCTCTCTCACCTGGCTTTCGTCATCTTTGTCAGGGAACTGGATGTTGACCTCATGCTCTGTGCGGATCTGGGTGATCACTGCTCCCTTCCGCCCAATGATTTTGGGGTGGTACTTGGGATCAACGGTGACTGTCAGCTTAAAGCTTCGCAAGGCCTGCAACAAGAGAAGCAAAGTGAGGCACAACAGCAGAGAATGATGCACCATGGCTGATTCAGTGATATCCACAAGTCCCAGTGCTTCCTTCTTACTTCTGAAATGCATAGGACAGATTCTGCAGTCCTGAGTCCTCAGTGTAAGTGGCTACAGAAGACTACAGACATTCACCTGCTGGGGCCTTGTGCTTTTGCCACATTTAGCAGCATCTGCATGTAACAAACTACCATCCAACTCTTCCCTCATCTATTCAGAGCTGGGATAGGAATTCGCTACAAAGCACAGACTCACTGCTCACAGCAAGGGGTTGTGTCCTCCAGCATCTCAGTGAGACATGAGGGTGAGAGTCCTGGGCAGTGATTGTCCTGTCAGTTAGTATTATATTTGGATAAGCCACCCTGAGTTTCCCAGACTTACAGAGAAGCTAATGGTGCTATTAAAAGAACAGAGGTGCCAAGAGGTTGTACAGCTTCTGAAGGAAACACCCAGAGGCTGGGTGGAAGGAAGGCACAGCCTAGTGTTCAGCTAGAGCTTCCAGCTGAAGGTTTGGCTGGAAGGAAGGACAGGCACAGGCCTTACCCGATCCTCTTGTTCAGCCTGCAGCTCCTTCACTCTTTCCAGCAGCCCAGCCTTGGCACGGTCCAGGTTGGCAGCCAGCCCAGTGATGGTGATGATATCTGACTGCAGCTCAGGAGCAGGGACCTGGATGTTCACCTGAGCAACATATGATTTCCATTTTGTACCACTGTTCACTTTACACTGGCTTCTCACTGATCTCCTCTGCCACCAAGAACAGCTCCCACTCAGCCCGAACCCTATTTCTTCAGCTACTACCAATATCAGATTGCTCTGCTGTACGACTTCAGCCCCTAGCAGTTTCTGTGTCACCCTGGAAAGGCCAGGAAACAAATATATGTTCAACAGTGCTGCCTGCAGCCAACCTGCATCACACGTGAAATCAAGAGGTCCACTGTCCCTGTGGGCTTTGAGGGAATCCTCCCAAACAGGCAGGCACAGCAGAGCCATGGCCAAGGAGGAAAAACTACTCTTGCACTGGTAAGGAATCCTGACAGGCCCCAACAAGTCATTCAGCACTCACAGCATCAACACCCATCATACAGCTTCATCGCAAAATCTACCAGCCTCTCAGCCCAGGATTAGATCATGCAGGTCTCACTTCCTTATTACAGAGCTATGGTCAAGCCAACGCAGCCCTGAGTATGTCACAGCCAACTGCCAGCACCACAAACATGGCCACCTGCAGATTTTCCAGGACAGAGAAGTTGGGAGGAAAAGCAACAACTTACTTCAAACTCGTCCATCATTTTACGGATCCCACTTCCTTTCTGGCCAATGATGTAACGGTGCAGATCAAAGGGAACTTCTACTTCAATGGTGACAGGAACCAGAGCCTGCAGAGAAGAGATCACAGTTTACCCAGATGAAAGACTTCTCCTGACTTTGTGCTTGCCATATATTTGTTCAAGAAACTATGCTGCTGAATTGAGGTACATTCCCCTGTAGTCATGGTGCAAACTCTGCAGGAGAGAGCAGCTGCAAATGCTAAGATGATCTGTTGGGTGCTTAATATCTTTTCCAAGCAAGCCATCTTAAAACCCCTCAGGAGTCAGAAGCTGTTTTCATATCCTTGGCTTCCACCTAGCAGAAACTTGGACAGCATCACTACAGGGTTCTCCCTGCGTGGCAAGGTCTGCTAAAGCTGGAATGATTCAGCCTCAATCAGACTGTTTCTCTTTCCAGCCCTGCTTCATAAAATAAGTATGTCACGCTCTTCTGGCAAGCAACTCGGGGCTGCTTACAGCTGCAGCAATTGCTAGGTCAGGCACTGTGACTCAAGCCACCAGGCAAGATTACAGAGCAATTGGAGACCTTCCCTTGGACAGTACAGACCTTTTCCACAGCTAGTGCCAGTGACCACCTGGACTGCAATCCTGACTGAATGCCACCACTGAAGCTTGTGGTGAGCTTCTTACATCAGGACAGGACTACGTCATAAGGCTGATGGGCACAGAAAGCCACCTACCTGCAGTGCCTCCTTTGCTGCCTCACACTTCTCCCTGCGACCAGAGATGATGATGATATCACACTTCTTTGGAGAGCTGGGGTCTGCATCCTTCCCATCCTTGCCTTCCCCACCCTCCTCACCATTCTCCTGCAATGCTGGCTCTGCAACTGGAGCTGAAAACATGGAAAGTCTCACGTTAAAGGCACAGGAACTCCCTCTTTGCTCAGCATCTCCCCCTTCAGATCCTCAGCCTTGGTCTTTGCCAAAAGAGATCAGTCACTGCAGCCTACTATGGTATTGGCCATTACAACACAGGCAGCTTGCCGTGGTGTAGCCTGCACTGAGCAGAACAAGAGCATCCACTGAGATCATCTCCTCCTTTATGCACAGCATTGATATTGCCTCTGCCTGCACAGAGGACCTGCAGCCACACTACAGAACTGGAGGCCGTGCTCCTATGTCAATAGAAGCAGTGAGTAAGGCTGGCAGTTTCTTCAGCAGCAGGGAATCTCACCTGCATGGCACTGGCTGTAAGTTACAGCAGCACGGCTGGTGGTAGGCCAAACTACCCAACAAGAACAGGTAATGCAGGCTCCAGCTGTGCTTAATTCAATACACCCAACAAGAAGAAAATGAGAAACCTCGGCAAGCCTGCAGAGCAAAGGAGCAGGGGAGGGTTCTGCTTTTGGCCAGGATAGGTACTAATGTCCCTGTGTTCAGGGGTGAAAACACGTTCAGAACCCACGTTTACATTTTCACCCTCTAAAACCGGCCCCTGTTATCACGAGGACAAGGCTCATGCCAAGCCCACGTTCAGGAACACTGCACAGCACATGTGGGGGCACTTCTGCACAGATTTTAAGTAGCACTTCTCCACTGATTGAGCAAGGACTACACAGCTGATCACCCCAGCTGCCACGTGAACATGCATCCCCGGGTATACCTGGGTTCTCCTCCCTGTCAGGGAATTTGATCTGGACACCATAGTCCCGGGTGATCTGCTGGATCCGGGATCCTTTGGGGCCCATGATGGAGCGGTGGAACTTTTGTGGGATGGTGCATTCGATTGTCACTTGAGCTTCCTGTGAGAAAGCAGAGTTGCTCTATTGCGAGGCAGCCCTTTCACACGTGCAAACAGGATGCCTGCACACGGTGAAATCCGTAATGGACACAGCGAGGTGTTGGGAAAGGGAACAGCTGTTGTCACTGGAAGAACCAAACGTTTCATGGAATCTTTTTTCTCTCTGAGAGGTTTGCATGGAATATTTTTACTGAAAGCTGCCTCCAGCCCGTAATGCTAAAGGCTCCTGAGACAAAAGCTCAAGCTCTCTATGACCCTGAAGGGGAGAAAGCAGTAGAAGAAAGGAGAAAGATAATGAATGAAGGAAAGGAAGAGCACAGGTCTGACTTCCAAAAGCCAATACTAACGAGACAGGAAAGGGCAGGGAGTGCCATTGCCCCGGACCAGGCACAGAGAGGTGCATGAAGTCTCCCATGTTTTACTGCCTGTAAGTACATCATATAAAGCTCTCCTACTTCCACTCCTAAAAACCATGAGGAAGGTTAAAGGAGAGAGACTACATCACACAAAATGGCCGTGTTGGAGCTAACAGCCATGCCCCAGACTGGGATCCAAAGTCTGCAGCCCTTACATACTGACAGCAAAGCTTCAAATCCCAAATTTGCTGCGGGACTTGCTCATATAAAGCAGGTTCAAGGAGGACATTGCTGAAACAACAAAGAGCAGAAGTAACAGCTTTCCTGAGACATACCAGGTCCTCAATGATCTCCTGGATGCGTTTCTTGGCTGCCTCCACACAGTCCTTGGCTCCCTTGAGGGTGACTTTGTCGCTCTGGGTGCCGGAGCGAGGGAAGCTGACCATCACCCCACCGTATTCATCTGCAATCTCACGCAGGACCTGCCCTCTCCGGATGACAAAGTGGCGGTGGTGCTTGGGGTCAACCACCATGGAGTCTTCAACCACGTTATCCTGCCGACAGATGACAGCCAGCCAGTCAGCCCTGCCCTTCCTGGTCATAAGCACTGGACTGCTGCACTCAATAGCAACTACAGTCTCACTCCAACAAGTCCTAAGCTCTTGTAACAGCCATGTCTTTAGGACTGACAGGTCCTCCACACTAACTCGTTGCATCTTATCACATTGCCAGGCAGAAAGAAGTAGTAGTAGTTCTTACCAGGTTCTTGATGAGGGCCTCTAACTCCTTCTGTGCCTCTTTGACAGCTTCCTCAGTTCCCATGATAGTAATCAGCTCCTGATCTTTGTCCTCAGAGGTTGGGAAGATGATGCGTGCCCCGGTATTGTCACGCACCTTACGGATGTTGCCACCACCCTTACCAATAAGGAATTTGTGGTACTCTGGCTTTGCACGGAGGTCCACAGTGTAACTCTTAGTTTGCTGAAAGAAGTCATATCCCCATGGAACATGTCAGTATATAATAAATAGACATCAGCATCCACAGCAAGCATGTAGATGTTTACCTCCACACTCCACGTACATACAAAATGTTGCAAGAGCAAGGCAGATGCAGCTTGCTGTCAAAATCAAAAAGGTATGACATCTTAAAGGAAAAACCACGTGAAAGATGTTGTCAGTGCTGAGTTCTCTCCACACTCAGCACAATTGGCGAGAACACGAGCACAGCAGACTACCCTGGGAGTCTGTGACTCACACTCAACAGCAAAACCTTTTGCTGACTGCCTGCTGTTGGTCACACAGCCAACGACCAACCACTCAGAACACGTTCATATGCTGGCATTGGAAAGGTGTTTGTTTCTTCTTTCTTGCAGTTAAAGTGACCAGTGAGCTGGTCACAACTCAGAGCAATGTCTTGTAACCAAGGGCTCCCCAAACCTGTTTATATGCAGTGAAATGTAAGAGCTGGAACTGGAATTCAGAGATCAGGAGAAAAAGGAAAGGAGAAGTGGCAGAGGCAGCTGTTTCAGAGAAGTGTGGCTATCCAACAGCACTCAAACCTCCAGAGTAGGGAGTCTTTGAGTATATCCCCCCAGCCATGGGAGAGAAGCATTACAGCCAGTTTTTCCACTCATGAGAGAAAAAACTCATTGTCACAAGTTTACTTTTACCCTTCCTGACTGTACTCAGATCCCTCTAAAGAGGGTTATGCTGTCTGACACGAGAGACTTCTCAGCAGACTATGGGGACCATGTGAACCCTGGAAAAGAAACAGCTGGCCAAAACAATCCGCTCCTCTCCTTATGTCAGGGCTCACCTTCTCCTCTGCCAGGTGCAGCAGCTGCTTCTTGGCTTTCTCCACATCCTGGGCTGGGCCCCTGATGGTCACAGTGTCACTGCCGGAGCCCTCAGTGGGAAAGTGGATGTGGACTCCACCGCATTCCTCCATGATGGAGCGGATGAAGCGGCCTTTGGCGCCAATGAGGGAATTGTGCAGTTTGGAAGGAATAGAGACCTCCACCTCTGTGATGTTGGCCTAAGGACAGCATCAGGATGTTAATCAAACTGCAAAAATGTGTTTGTATCTACCCTGCTTATCCTCCAATTCCCACATTGCTAAGGTCTTCACCGAGCTGTTTGTAGGAAACGCCCGATCACAGGAGCTTGAGACTGGCTGCCTCTTATACATAAGCAGCCATAGGCAGGCTTGCTGTATCATCCCACAGTGCATTCAATTTTGGAAGAATTACACCCCGAGAGCAACTACCATGAATGTAAATTCAGTCTCTGACGAGGAGACGGCAGACCTGTGTCAGAGCCTCCATTTGGACAACAACAGATGCTATCCAGTAGTGCAAGTGCACAAGTTTGCTCTCCGTAAACCTGCGAGCTATTGTGGCAAGTCAGTATTGCTAGAGTAGCCTCCCAATGAGTCTTTCATCTTAACTTAGCTCAGCTCCTTGCTTTGTTCAAGATGATGAGGGTCGTCCCTGCTGATGCTGAACAAGTAGTATTTTCAGTCTGCTTGGCCTCAGTTAATGCACAGCCTTCCCTAGTTCACAAACCACACTTCAGGACAACACTGCTATTTGCATTCTGATAAGCCTCGAAAATAGACATCCCTGAAAGAACTGCCAGATACCACAGACATACTCCTCTCCTGCTACTGGCAACTTTTGCTAAGAACTTAGGTTTTAGGGCCAAGAACAGACTGACCCTCCTGTTTGTTTCCTCCCTGCTATTCCACACCACAACAATTTCTTGTGTGTTAATGTATTCTACCATCATTTTCAAATCCCTTATCCACAAAAGGTCCCTTACCAGCTCCTTCTGGATGGCAAGAATTCTGTGGCGAGCAGCTTCACAGTTTGCTCTCTTGCCTGTGATAACAATTGTCTCCGAGTTGCTGTTCTCTGCTGGGAGATCAATTTTGGTGTTGCTTTCTTCACGAATCTGCAAAGAAAAGAAATGATTTCAGAAGTGTCCCATGTCAGAAGAAAGCCCCTGGAGATTACATTTCACATCACCAATGAGCAGGAAAGGGATTTAGTTGAAGGCAGTTGACTGTACTGAGCACCAGAGAAAGAGAAGTTATCTCACCTTCTTGATGTTGGCACCTCCTTTCCCTATGATGTTCTTGTGGAATTGTTTGAAGATGGGGACAGAAATAGAAAAGCTGTTTTCAACCTAAGGGAGAAAGAAGGGACAACTGAAGATTGCACATTGTGGCAATTCCCATCCTAGGAACCTGGTAAACACGAGCTTTGACAATAAACTTGGACCCAAGGAAGTTCTCTGTACAAGACTGTCTACCTCCAGCCAGAACTTTATGTCTTGAGTTCTGTTATCTGGAGGTGTTTCAGTCCCAACTAAGTACAGCGACAGTACAGCTGTACTTTATATCAGGGCTACCCTAAGTGCATGGGAGAGAAGAATGTGCCCCTACCAGGTCTGCCACCATCTTCTGCATGTACTTGGTGCACTTCTCCACCTCATTTTTGGGACCCCTCAGTTGGACAATATCACTCTTGTGCGCTGGGTCTGGGAAGTTGATGATAACCTGCAAGAAGCAGTCAGTCAGAGTCACCTCAAGGAAGTGCAAGAGCTGCTACGTCAGACACAAACAAAGCTTGGGGAGATCCTGTACACCCTCTCTTCCATTCAGAGAAGGGCAGCCATGTTAGCAGCCTCTGGTCAAGAGAATTTTCTCCTATCTATTCAATGCAGAGCCACTATACTTATGATTTTAGCAACAAGACCGTTACCATGCAGCAAGAGCCCCCCCTGGATTCCTTATCCCCCGGAAAGCCTCACCTCTGGGAACTTCTCCCGAATTTCCCGGATCCGCTCACCCTTCTGCCCAATGATGGTCCGGTGGAATTTCTGCTCAATGATTAGGTCCTTGGTGCGTTCGTTTTCCTGATGGCAATACACATTACAACTCAGTGTTCAGCAGTACAGCCCTGTATTCTCTTTTACACACTTGCTGCCTAACAGCTTACTTGTCAGCTTTTTTCTTTTATTCTCCTCTTGAGAGGATTCTTTCTGGGCTGACAAAGAACAGCGTGCAAGTAAATAAAGAAGCCCATTTGCAAACAGGGACTCACACTTGCCAGCAGATCCAATCATTCATTGGGCAAGGGGCACACATTTGTACCAGGAAAGGTTATGAGGGAACACAACAGCCCAAACCCTGCAGCTCCCTTAGCATCACGTCCTGCTCACCATACGGGAAGCGAGTTCCAGCAGCTCTTTCTTGGCCTGTTGGACCCCCTGGGGATCTCCTTCAATTCTGATCAGGTTGCTCTTCTCATTGTCCGGGGGAATGCGTACAGACACCTTGTAGAGGTCCTTAATCCTGTTAACTTCAAGGCAAGGATGGTGGTGACAACCTGCTAGGCCAAGGCTGGCAACAAGGCATCCTGATTATCAGCACTCAGTCTGCTTAAGAAGTAAACCAGCCTCTGAAAAGGGGTGAGGGTCTCCTCACCCTACCCTGGAATTCAGCAAGAGCAGATCTGTGCCATTCAAGACCCACACAAGTAAATGCTGTGGCATTTTAGAGAGCAAAATGCTCATTTTCTAAAGCATTGAATTTGTTTCCTCCCCAAACACCACACATTTACATCACATCACGAGATGGTCGTTCATTTCTCTTTGCAAGTTCTTTAATGAGGAGAGTCTTACTGGCAGACACCCACATTCCCCTATCAGCTGCTAAAATGTAATTCACACAGAGTAATTTAAAAAAAAAGAAAAAGTTAACTTTAGTTCTCCAACCAAAACAGACTCTCCTCCATGACATGGCAAAGTCATCTCACAACCCTTTCATACACTAAAGCCATCCCAAGCACTTACTGCCTATTTATCTCCTCATGCCAGTCAAGAAGAGCAGCTGAAGTGTGATGGAGACACCACACTAGATGAGCTACAGAACCCCTGATACTACCAACTACAGATGTAGAGTGTGAGCGTAGGAAGGATTAGGAAAAGCACACCACTTACTGTTTGCTCCATTCTTGCCAATGAGGTGTCGATGGAATTTGTGGTCAACGTTGATTTCTGCATAATCCATCCGGTTGATCTACAACAAATGCAGAGGGCTATGGAGAACAGGCCAACCCTGCTCCCAGCTCATGCCCTGCATAACTGCCTGTCGCCAGTAGTGGCACTGACTCCAGTAACCAGCTACAAGCACTCTTCCTGTTACTGCTCCGTTTGAAGTTGAGAGCACCACACTTGTGAAACGTCTGGAGGGACTTCTATTCTTCCCTAGTTACAACTGAACAGTTCTTCCTTATCTGCAGCAAAAGATTTAAGATCCAGTGCTGGTTTTTCAGGAATGCTGTGGACAAGTTTTGTACCCATCTGTATGGGAAGTGCTGAATCACGACCTGAACCTCTGACTGACCACCAGAGGCAAGCACTGAGTCAGGCCTGGGAGGACAGGTGAAGACAATCCTCCTGCGCTACTGGAAGGAGTGGAGCCTGGCTCCACCTCTCCTAGACCCCATTTAAGAGCTGACTGCCACTGGAGAAGGATCTCTTTTGGAGATTGCTCCTCTTGGAGTCTTCTCAGCAAGCCCAGGACAAGGGTAAGCGTTCCATCCATTCTCCTTTAGCATGCTAACCTGTTTAGCCTATTTCTTAATTATAACATCTGTATATTCATTGATTATATGCCACTTGCCTCCTGCAAGTTCTGTTAAGCAGGGAAAAACATCATAAATGTGAAACACAACTTATCATCTCTGTTCTGCTGCCCCTTCTAATGAACTGAAACTACTAACACCAACTTACCAGATCCTTGACCATGACTTCAATCTGTTCCTGAGCCACATTCACATCTTCTGTAGGTCCTTCCAAAGTGATTTTATCCTCTCCTTCCGTGAATTCGATGTGAACCTTGAGACAAGGCAGTGAATTCATTAAGAATTTTCCAAGGTATGAGACAGATCAATGCCCTTAATCAGACCTACATAATCTCTGCCACTAATAGATATTTTCCTTCCCACAAGACACACAAGTTATTCCTCAGCTTTCAGAAGACAGTAATGCACCATTTGGCCAGTGGCCTTCTAGAGCCTGTGGCTCTCATGCTGTTCTTAATGCTTGCAAGGGCTTCAGAGAAGTTGCTCACCTCACCTTATCTCAACATGAACTCACAGCAAGAAAGCCTAATTGAATTCAGCACTTATAAGTATGTTACCACATCAATTCTCCAACTAGTGCCACCTCAAGCTTCCTCTGAAGGAATAACCAGAAGAATAACTTAGGATGAGTAGCATAAGCAGCAGTGGAAGGGAGGCTTTAATGTTATGATCTGTGCCTCTTCCTCCTTGGTTTCACTCACTCTAGAGCATGTTTCTCTTCTACAAACAGCGATCTGGAATAAACCATATTCTATAGAAAGTGCTCAAGCTGACCAGCTCGCCCATACCTTTGGCATTTGCTGAGTTATTTTGGCCAGGTTTTGTCCTTTCTTTCCAATAATGAAACGATGAAGCCAAGAGGGGGCAGAGACCGAGGAGACGGTAAAACTGTTGGCCTGAAAGACAGAAAATGTAAAAAGCTGTTTGATGGACACACTGGATGAAGTCTCCACAAAAATTCAGTTCCGATTTCTACGGTGTATCCTCAGTAGCAGCAATCTCTAACAGCATCTCTAACAGCCCAACAAAGACCACTCCTCCTCCACCCGTCCATGCTGCTCCTAGTTATATCCTAACGTGACTTTCTAACCCATCTGACCCAGCCCATCTCCTCAGTACCTTTGCATAGACTTCAGTCAATGCTTGCCCAAGCTTTTCGGGCTCGCCTCGCAGTATCACCGTCTCCGAGCTACTGTCAGTGGGTGGGATCTCGACAGAGACTCCAGTTTTCTCCAAGATCTCCTGCAGGGAATTCCCCTTGGGGCCGATGACGTACTTGTGCTGGGACTTCTTCACTTCCACCGCAATGGTTGTAGTCTTCTTTTTCTGTGGGGGCAGAGGCACTGGGGCATCAATTACAGGGGGGACAGAGAAGGACAAGAGTGGAAGGAAGAGGCAGCAGACGCAGTGAATTTCTGCACCAAGTAAAGAGCAAAGCAAAGCTGAGCATGTTGGTTCTGCAGTACCCCAGCACCTAGTGGGGCCCTGCCCATAGAAAGCCTTGTGCTCACAGACTCGTAGTCAAAGTACAAAACCAGCATTCTCCTCCTTCATGGAGGAGACCATGCACACGGCCTTGCACAACAGGGCTCAACACTCAGCTGTCCTCAAGGCAGTGGTGTAACGCAATACCATGTAGGTTACTTGGCTATAAGCTGATTAACTATGTTGAAATCCAAACTGGTACAAATACAAACCTAAGCATGAGAAAAAACACCCCAATAACCCACAGCAAGGATATTCACAACGACGTTGGCTGCGGAAAGTAAACTGGAGTGAAATTCACTCTTTAGAAACTTCTATTTATGTAGCAACCTTTTACTGTCAGCTGGCCACCACTGCAGACTTCACATTTCCCTCCTTAGTGTCACCAGTGCAAACTAAGGGAGCCCTACATGGTCTGCTGAATCCCATGAGACAAAAAAACAAGACATCTGTCACCTCCCTGGCAACATCACCCCAAGTTTCATTCTGTTGAGTAAGGAAATGGTAAGATCAAGGGCTATGCACTGCAAGGACTGCAGTCAGAGCTGACACGAGGAAGACATAAACAGAGAGAAGCAGAAGAAGAGAAGAGGGACTCTGAACACGTTGGGAGGAAGATGGGGAACTTATAGGGACCATACCTTCTCCTCATAGATCTTCTTAACACGAGCAACAGCCTGGGCCAGCTGCTCCTTTTCTCCAGTGAAGACTATCTCTGTCTTGTTGACGCTGGGTGGAGGAATGTTGATGCGTGTCCCCGTGTCCTGCATGAGCTCACTCACCAGCTTGTTGTAAGGGCCAGCAATGAAGGGGTGAAACACCTTCTCCACATCCAGCCGCTCCACAGCACGCTTATCCTGGAAGAACAAAACTCTGTGAGAACTGCCCGCTGTTATACAACCTCTGCCAGACATGGTGGTGCCCTACTTGACACTCTGGCCCATGTAAATCTCCATTCTCTTCTGGCTACAAATCCTACTGTTGCTACTCATGTTTTATGGTATTCACCATTCTAACATCTGGCCTTGGCTAAGCTGGCATCCGATTATGGCCCACTTCAAACATCAAACAAACTTATTTGAATTAAGAAATGGACAAAATGGAGATCAGGAAGTTGAAGAAGCTGGTGTAGATGCTCATACAGTCCATGTCTCTGTTCTCACTAACATACCAGCAACCAAGCATGGCCACAGTAGCTACTAACATGCAGCATTCATTGGAGAGGTAAAATGGCAAGATCACAGCACTGCAGTACCTGCTCAGCAGAGATGAGCAGGATCTCGTGCCGGGCTTTCTCAATCCCTTCTTTAGTGCCGGTGATCTTGATCTGGTTGCTGGGGTCATCTGGGCGGGGGATCTGGATTTTGGTTGCAGTTTTGAGCTCCAGGTCCTGCAGCTTCTCGCCATTCTTTCCAATGACAAAGCGGTGGTGCTCCTTGGGGATGGCAACTGTTGCTGAAGCCTGAAACACAGGAACCAAACAAGTGTAAGAACCTTTGTCTGCAATGGCAGACCCGCAGAAGCAGGCCTGGGGAAAGCAAGAAAGCAAGTTAGATGCTGCTGAGCAGTACCATTAAAGAGGAAACACAATGTCTTCCCAGCATATCCTGCCTAAGTACTGATACTGTGCCACGGCAGTTAATCTGCAGTGCCTATACACGAGGAGACTAAGTCCCATCTTTTCCTCAAAACCCTTCTGTTTGTCCAGAAGCAGTACTCAGAATTTGCAAAGGCCTTTGGACACCGATGAGGAGATGCCTCTCTTTCAGCATAACGAACAGATGCAGTACCACACAGCAACTGAGACGATGGCTCAGGGGTGGAGTTTATCTGAGCTCTGACATCTGCTGCTAAGAGAACAAGGCACACAGGCTGACTCCTAGGAAACAGAAATTTAACACCAGAAACCTGCCCCAGCAGACAGACAGCTATGAGATACTGCTACTCACTGGTTTTCAGTGTAGTACTTACGCTGCCAGGACTACCTATAGGACTACCTCTTGGAAAAAGGGCCCAAAAAGCTTCCCTCAATCTACTTTTAAAGAGATGTTTTATAGCAGGGATTCCTGACTTCCTCCCTTCTCACTGAAGCTTTACTTGCCTCCTAGGTTGTGACTGCTACAATGCTCATGACTCCTGTGAATATTTAACTACTAACAGCAATGAGACGCACAGCATTCCAACGACAATGGAAAAAATGAAAAAAGATCATTTGATCTTCGACCCTGTGTTCTTATAATGAAGCCAGCCAAGCCTAGGAGCAGTTGGGAATCCAGACACACCTTCGTCTGGGGCCAAAGCAGTAGGAGGTACATCTGGGGAGAGCGGGTCATGTATAGCACAACCTGAACTGATTTTTCAGGTGCACATTACTTAGGGTTTGTCCCTTTCTCTTCCCTCTGGCAGGATATGACACATGGGCTGAATAGCGCTGAAGCAAACATAATATTAACTACTGTATTAACTGCCTTTGACATTGCACATGAATACAAGATCTGGCTGCAATACAGCCTAACAAGTGCTACCATCCTGACTACGAACTCAAAAATCTGAAGGTGATGAATCAAAACCTACGGGACTGAAAGAAGCAATTGAAACAACGGAGCTGCGGCTCCTTACTAGTGCAGCTTTAATTACACCACCCAGAACCCTGACCTCAAGCACTAAGCTTTTGGCAGGAGCTCTCATTCTCTCATCCCTTCATGAAGGACGTAGGTGGAACAGTCCCATTCTCACAGGCCAGTGGTTTTGTGTGAAGGGTCTGCATCCCCTCCAGGACCAGCACCTCAGCATAAAGTTGTTTGCAATCCAAGCGTTCACAGATTGTAGACTCCACCCTTCATACAACACCAATGGCCTGTAATTAAGTCTGCACCCTATTTTAACCATCACCTCCATTCCAAATCGCCAACGGTGTGCTTTGAAAATATACAGCAAAGCTGAATTAGTCATCTAATAACACCTCCTCAGCTTATAAGCAGACACACACAGGGGTCTCAACACATTTCTCAATCTTGGGGAAGAGCAAGGATGAAGTAAGAAACAGTTAGATGCCCCCTACCTGTGTCTGCAGCCGAGCGACAATCTCCTTTCGAGCCTTCATGACTGCTTCCAGCTTGCCAGAGACCATGATAGAAAGGCCCTGGTCCTTTGCGAGAGACAGCTCCAGGTGAGCTCCTGTCTTCTGCATGATGTCAAGGCAGATCTTGGCCTGCTCGCCTTCTCCAAACTGATTCATGTCCTTGTATTTTCTCTCTTCTAGTGGCACATGAAACACCTGCTCAGCCACAGGACAAATAAGAGAAAAGGCACAGCAAACAGTGAGTATGGTTTCGATTGCCAGTGCCTCCCTCTGTTCTTGCTGTCTTGACTCTGCTGAAAGACTAAGTTCCCAGGGTTGGATAACCCATGGGCACTTCCAAGGTGGACACAGGCTGTGAGTAGTGACAGGGCAAGAGTGCTGTAGCAGCCACACTGTCCCATGCTGAGAGTCCTCCCAGAGCATGTCAGGCAGGTAGAAGCACTAAGTTAACAGCCAGAGTACTTAAAAATTAGTGCTCACTGCTTGACTTCTGCAATCCCCCCCTTCAGGCCTGCTCTAGCTATTTCTGCAGTAGGGACTGAAAGCATTCTCTGAACAGCTTTCCAACAGTTTTCCCCTCCTCCCAGAATGGTCCTAGGTCTCAGGTGCAATTCTCCTCATGCCCTGAGAGGCAAAGAGGCTGCCAATCTGACACACGAAGGATTTCATGCTCCGAGGAAAGCTTTGTTTCAACTGTTTTCTGGAAGAAAGAAAGAGGAGAGGGGATAGGGTGCCTGCTCCCACCAACCTGAGTGATGACAGAAGCCTTTATCGGTCGGATCTTGCTCCAGGGACCAGATGGTTCCTGGGCAGCTTCCAAACATGGTGCTTTCTCAGGGAGCGGAGGGAAGGCTTCCTTGTAGGTTGGAGGATCATTCTCTTCTTCAGAGTTTAAAGCTGTAACTGAAGTGAAGCAAACAGGATTTATCTCTTTAGAGATGCTCTCCAGGCAGAGATGCCCCTACTGATCGGCAGTGCAAGCACATTTATACACTAAAAGGGAAAGTAAGTGACTTGTGCACTACTATTAATTCTATTACAGTTATGCTTGTGGAAACAGCCAACTCTGCACAACTGAACTCAGTACAGCAGACTGCAGTAGATGCCATGACCAGCTTGCCTTGTCTGATGCAGAAAGGGAATGTGCAAATGAATGGTGGCAGAAAACAGCACACTGCTGCAAACTTTGTAAAGAGGAGCTTGATGAGGGGACAATGAGCTGAGCAGAACGAATGTAAAAGAACAGAGAAAGGCTGCAGGTCAGAAGGGATGAGACAAACACACAACCAAGGGGAGGGCAGGGAGAAGTGTTACAGTTAGGGCAGACTCCAGGGAAAGTCTGTATGAGGACATTATGCTCAACTCAGTTGTGTGCTGCACTGTGCCAAGTGGGCCAGCTGGCAGCTGGAGGACGGGTGCAGAAAGGCACCAGTGAGCCAGCCAGTTACACTTACTTTACCCAGCACCTGGCTGAGCAAAGGAAGGAAATGACTGAGTCCAGCACACCAATCCAAAGAGGCCCCGCTGCAGCCCAGTGCCCCACTCTTGCATGTATCCTGTCTCACAGTCAACAGAGTTGCTAGTCAGAGCTGCATGAAGATCTGAGGCTCGCTTCCTCCAGGCTCTGCATGGTGCTGCCATTAGTGGACAGCTAGAGTGTGTGGTGAGCCACCCATGCAGGAATGGAGAAGGCAACTTTCGCACACTCGTGGGGAATCAGATGCCTGAAGTGAGCGCTGTAATAGCAAGGAGCCCTGTCTACATTTAGAGACACGGCACAGGCACTCAGCTGTTTTCTCACCTTTCACCTGCTGCTGAGTCAGGCCGCTGCGGTGTTCAGCGAAGCTCTCCTGGGTCAAAACTGCCACGGAGCTCATTGTCGACTTCCCACCCACACACAATCCGGGTATGCCACTGGAGAGTGAGAGAGGAGGTGCCACTGTTACCAACACCATTCGAGGGGCACAAAAATTACCCAGGGGAACAAAGCATGCTAAGCTCTGTCAATCAGCATCGTGAAATCGGCCTCCTAGAGTACCAGTCAGCTGCCCAGCTCTCTTACTAGTCCAGATGGGAACACATGGAACAGTGGACACCAAAAGCAAAGTTCTTCATTAAGAAGGGAGAGGATGCACAACTTAATGTCATCAGAAAAGGGGAGAATGCAAGGTGCTAAAAGATACTCTAATTAATCTATCTATTATTAAAGGTGTGCAAAAAGTCTGGATAGTGAGTCTAAGACCACAGTGTAATCCTGGAGAGAAAATGAAAGAGGCCCAGGATGCTGCCTCCTCTGGTAGATGGCTCAGTTAAATGTCTGAGCTCCTGCTGATTTGGGGATACGCTCAGAACACCGCTCTGATAAGCATGCTTAGCAACACCAAGATCTTTGGCACTCCCAAAATAGGAACTTACCAGCTAAATGGTCAGTAGCCAGAGAGTCCGTCCTGTAAGCTGCCCGTTTGTCAGCCTGCCAGCTTTTGCTTTACAGAAAAAGAAAAGAAAAATATTTATGCGGCTGCTCCAAGACAACAGGAAAATATGACACTCGTGTTACTGTAACTTGCAAGAGAGCACTGCTGTACTGTGTTTCAAACTTGCATCCTATCCAAGATGCTCTCCTACTGAGTCACATCTCACCACACTTTACCTGTCATGCTTTACTAGAGCTGCAGACAATGCCGCTGCCTGCTGACCCTCACAGCAGGAAGCCTGGGGAAGCTGCCCTTTCATCACACCAGCTGCAGGAGCAGCCATGCAGTACAGGCAAAAATACAGTCAATTAGCACCAAATGTGCAAGGTAGACATGAAATTTCAGGGTTGCAGCGAGAGCATTGACATCTAGTCAGAGGAGACTAACAACCTGAAAATCTGCCAACAACACTGCCATCGCTCACGGGTTAGGAATGTAGTTTAGTGGAGCTTGGGTGAATCAACACAGACATCCTCACAAACTAAGGCAAACGCTCAGGACTATCCACATGCAGCTGCTGGCCAGTCCACCTCTTGGTTTTTTATTGCAATAAGATGATACAACAGGCACTGAACTCTGGCTCCAGGTCTGTCATTACGAAGGAAAAAAAAACACCACCACAGTGATTTACATGGACTGTTTCGAAGGCATCCTGAAATAAATAGGTTGTTGGTGGGAGCTTTATATCTCCTGCATCTGCAGCACTGATCGGGAATATAAATAAGAAAATAAAAGCCTGGGAAGTACATGCTGTCAGATGTGCAACAGTTCCTGCACACCCCCCAGCCGCATGTGTGTGCTCCTGCAGGGCCTGCAGCCTCCTGAAGTCCAGTGCCGCCGAGTGCCTGTGGCACAACAGGTCCCTCTCCTACACAAAGCCTGCACTGCTGTTTCTAAAAGCGAGCTCCAGCACTTCTCAGGAAACCGATCTTCACCATTTCTCCCAGCGTGCCAGAAAAGCCTCCAAAGAGCTGAGCCTCTGACGTGGCATCTTGCATCACACTGATGGGGCGACAGAACAGGGGACAGAGGCAGGAGGAAAGGAGTGCATCAGGCTCACAGGGACCCGATCTGTGTTTCAGTGAAAGCCACACAGGGAATTTCCACCTGCTTCACCACCACCTGAGCAATGGAGCTAATGTTACAATTAATTCTCCAGCGACCTGCTGCTGCCAGGTGACAGCTCCCAGCCGCGTTGCCTGAAGCACAGCTTCTGCAGCACATGGAGGCTCTGCAAGGCTGGCGTGCAGGAAAGGGAGGCTGGCTGCCTGCTCTGGAAGAAATGTTCGTGCTGTGCTCACTGTCCCTGGGTACGCTGAGGATCACATCACCACGCAAACAGAGCTGCCAACACCGCCTTCAGCTCACTGGGTCACTCTGAGGATGCCGCTGCCTCAGGGCAAGGTGCCAACAGGACCGAGGGCAGGAGCCAGCAGGACCCCATACGCCACAAGCAGCTGCGAGGCTCTGGCCACAGCCTTGCTAATGGCATGGATGCAGTTATAGTTCTCATCTCCGGGAAGCATCACCTGGTTCTGCTCCTTAGAGGGGGAGAAGGATGAGAAACTGGTGAAACTACACCAAAATAGTGGCAGCCTACGACGCATAACCTCGAAGCATAACCTCAAGGCACAGCTGCTGGTTTCAGTGTGTCCACGCCAGCTGTGGAGATCTTGCAGGCAACACCTCAGAGCAGAGTTAGATATTCGAAATCTAAGGGCAGCACTTACCCCTGTGAATGTCTGCTTTGTCACCCATACGGCAAGCTAAGAACAAATGTTTTCCATCTCCAGTAACCCCAAACATCTGGTATACTGTAGGCCTCGGGGATTCATCTCTGGCCAAAATTGGAGGTGGCCATCAGAATGGTATTTTAAACATAACGTTAGCAGCGGCACTGCGTCTGAAGCCCACACCTCCTCACCATCCCACTGCAGGCTTTGAAATTAAGCTTACAGCCACGTCAGGCCGGCACACGGCTGGCTGGGTCACCAGGTTCCGAACCGCCAGCCTCATGGCTGCCCGCAGCACGGCCACAGCAAGCTTCACGAGATCGGAGCATGCTTAAATAGGAGAACAAATCATCCTGAGAATAGCTCCTAGCCAAAGCCAGCCCTAACCATACGGAAATGTTTGTATAAAGGGAAACAAAAGCAAAGTCTCGCGCTGCACTGCCAACACAACCAACGCCAGTGGCCAGAAACAGGCAGCCGGGTGATATTTTACAGAAATATTTGCATTCTGCGTTACGGTGCTTACAACCAGACGCGGCTAAAGCTTCGGGCAACCGAGCCGGCTGCCGTCCTTCGCCCGGGTCCACGCACTGCCGGTCCGTCCGAGCCGACGGCAGCTCGGCGTTACGCGCTTCCTGCCCGCCCCAGGTATGCCGGGCCGCCCAGCCTTGGCTCGCTCCCGGCGGCCAGCTGCTGCGTGGCAGGATGGAGCCCTTCCACCGCTTCCTGCGGCAGCGCGCAACGTGACCGGCGCCTGCCGGACGCGGCCAGCCTTCAATCCGAGCTCTGTGCGCGTTTTCTCCCCTCCTAACCCGCTCGCCGCCTCCTCCCCTACCTCGGTTTCCCGTGCTCGCACGGCGCTCACTTTGTGCCCGGCCGCCCCGCGGCCCGCGCTCCGTTCGGGCGCCCGCAAGGAGGACGCGCGGCTGCCGAGCCCCTTCCCGGCCGTGCCCCTTCCTCTCCGGCCCGCGGGGCCCCGCGGAGACTCGAGCCGGGCGCGGCGGGGAGGCGGCGGGCCCAGGCCGGGCGGCGCCGCCAGCGCCACCTCAGCACTGCCGGCACCGGGGGCGGGGCGGCGGCGGGCCGGGCCGCTGTCACCCGGCGCGGTGTCCGCGCCGCTCCGAGCGCCGCTCCGCGGGACCCGAGCGCTCCGCTCCGCTCCTCCCCGGCGCCCACCGCGCGTTCCTCGTCCCGCTCCCCGCGCCGCCGCCCCCCCCCCCCTCAGCCCCTCGCTCATCGCGCCGGCCGCCGGAGCTTCCCCCGGCTGGACGCGAGCCCCCCGGCCCCGCTCCGCTCCCCGCGCCCTCCCGCAGCGCCGCGACTCACTCCGGCCCGCGGCCGCTCGCCCGCCTTGCTGGAGAACCGGGAGCGCTCCTGGGAGAGCGGCGCGAGCCCTCCGGCGGCCCTATATAGGGCGGGCCGCTGCCAATCCCCGCGCCGCACGTCAGCGGGACGTGCCCCTAACCGGCGGGGCCGCCGAGCGGAGCGGGGCAGCGGCAGCGCGCGGCCAGCACAACGCCGGGCCGAGCCGAGCCGCCCCCGGGCCGACCCGCAGCTCGTCGGGGATTTCTTCCGGCCGCTTCTTGTACGCCGTTCCGAGAGAAGAGCCCTACTTTCCTCGCCAGAAACTTCTCTGGAAAGCGACCCGAGCGCGCTCCCCCCTGTGCAGCGACTCGATTTCCTGTTTCAGTGCGGCCCCACGTTGCTAAAACCCCACACATCAGCGCCCGGCGGTGCTCTGGGTGCTCACCCCACACTGCGCGCAACGAAGGACCGCCCCGAAACACCCACGTCCCTCGGCAGCAGCACGGCAGAAGTGGGATAAAGAAGTCCATCGTTAAAAAGCACAGTAAGAGAGGATTTAGGACACGGGGCGCCGGTATGCCAGAGCACGTTTGGGTTCCCAGCCAAAGAGCAGGAGATGCTGCTCTGAAGCCATCGCTACGGCCTGCCTTGCCATCTCCCAATAGCACACTTCGGAAAACCTTCTTTACATTGAAGTTAAAGATCAAATTATGGAGATCCTTCTGCGTTTCTCACACCTCTACATAAAACAACATCCTAAAAACTGCCTGGCATTGGGTGAGACCGTGCTGCACACATCCCAGTGGCTTTCAGTCCAGCTTCTCTTTTCTTACTGTAACTTCCAAAGGCACCCGAGCCCACCTCCTCTTCTCCTCACTCATACACCATGACCAGCCCCAACAATTCTGCCCTCAGCTGCACCTGGTGCAATCTCACCACCTTCAGGAGGCTGTGAATATCCAATAGGGAAACTGCAGCCCATGTGAGCCCACCGGTAAGCCTAAGCCCAGCTGCAATCAGCGGTGCTGTGACTGGGGAGGGAGGTGGCAGGAAGGCATGCAGCCAGGTGTTGTGTCTCTGGTAACCTAGGTGCTATAAATACAGGGTCCCAGGGGAGCACAGCACCATTTGCCTTTCTCCTGGTAAGTGTGCTGCTAGAGGGCAGCTCTCCTCTTGCACAAGCAGAATTGCTGAGCAGATACCGAAGCAAGGTGATTAACCTCTGCAGGTCTCCCATGCCAAAAAGCTCATTCAAAAGACAAACTTATTTCCTGGGCATTCTGACAACAAAGTTATGCAATCCTCAGCTAGCAAACAACATATACACTGCCCTTCTGAGGCTGTCACAGGGCGCTCTACACAGAGGGAGCAAGCAAAGTCCATAAGAATGGGAGCAACTCACTGGTGGCAATGGAGTTCTAACATGAACAAGAAGCTTCAAGCTCTGTGAATGCAGGAAGAGAAAAAGACACAAGTTCAGAGCAAAGCAGGCACTTGTGAGGGCTCCAGACCCAGTGGTTATCACTGACCAGCCCAGAGACTGAGCCCCACGCCTGGTCCTGCTGCCAGTTCAAACTGCACTGACTGGTGGGATTCTCCCGGCTGCCCTGGCTGTGTGCACACAAGGTCTGATCTGCTCTGTGGAATACTAAGTCCACGCAGGTTGTTTGGATGCCAGGTGCTATCACAAAGCAAATGCCATTTCTGAGATGAGGAAGAAAGTCAATGGACAGCTGAATAAAATCGATCCAACTGCAAAGCAAAGGTCAGGGGCAGTCCTCCCACTTGCTCTGGGAGAGAAGTCTGGTAATTTCAGAAAGAAATAACACTTGCACCAGTCAAGTGAGCTTCCTACCTGCACTTCAGAGATGATTACAGGCAAACTGAAGAACTGGAAAGTTTGAAGTAGAGGCAGAGTTCAGGTTTTCTGCCTGGGAGACCCACGACACAGCAGACAAAACAAAATGGAGC